ATKATTRYTAWWRWGYRKRGKGWSAMAAWRWSAYWTTKKRGWKTYCYYYTTYMMYTTYYTWWTAMSAATTCTTCAAAYCCTACACGATGCTTCYCATGGAGTCATTGGAGAATGCTTYGTAGATTGTGCGGGGTGTTTAATATGGTTTCTTTAATTTTAGCAATTCGAGAATTTCTTTTACATTTCATTCGGYTYGGATCGGTTCGGKTYGGACRTTCGATTCGATTCTCTACAAAAAACTGYTTGGTATGTCTTTGCATGGTATTTATGTTCYTACGTACACGTGCGTAAAATAACCTGCAYTGGTATGCCACAAAACGTAATTGTCTTAATTATCGTCTGCGTGGGAATTACCTTTTTTGGGATATTTTCGAGTGYATATAGATCCCACATGACCTGAAGGCATGCTGTAGCTTTAAAAAAATAAATGTAGATCATTGCTCTTTCAGACGAAACAAGTTACCATTCTAGGCGCTACGTCCGTGATGCCCCAACTACAAAAAACATGTGCCAACAGTGTGTTAAGCCTTGGATACGAGAAGAGGTGGCAAGCTCTGTGTCTTACGCCGTTCAAGCTTTTTGTTACCCTAAAGGAACCAAATGCATCAGAGGGCCACGAGGACCTCCAGGGGCTCCGGGACCAAAGGGAGACAAAGGGCAAGATGGTAGTGTCACTGACGTTCAGCATTATGGCAACGGCGGAGGGGATGTAGCTAATTTTCCAAGTGAGGAGGCTATAGGAGCCATAAATTCGCCTGGTATAAGAGTAGCACCGTCGTCATTGACCGTCAACGAAAATTCTCCAGCGACATTTACCTGTGCCAGCACAGTAGCAGGAAAAGCTACCATAATCTGGGACAAGGTCGGAGGTTTTAAGCCTGGTGATAGGCTTTTTGAGATCAAAAATGGAAAATTAAAGATCACAAATGTACGAGTTGACGATGCAGGGGAATACATGTGCACRGTGGAAAGCCCTGCTGGATTATCAAGAGCTGTTGTAAATCTCAAAGTCAGAAGTAAGTATATATTCTTACAGCGTTTGGAATAAACATTGTCAGGCAAATTTAGAACTATATGGATGTAAGGACCGCATGGCTATATGAGATACAAGATATAGAAAAAAAGGGAAGTTATAATTACAGTGCTTTGAAGGAGGTTATTCCGGGAGAAAGACCCATGGAAATATATTCGTAAAAATAAATTTCCGACCTCCCTGGGGTTCGAATCTACAACCCTCGGATTTGTTCTACCGATGCTCTACCAGCGTGGTCGGAAATTGATTTTTCCACATTCTAATTACCGCAACCTTAGATCTATTTCACCCCGACCTGCTCCCAGTCTGACCTTGTAGCTAAGCTGGTAAAGCATCGGTATTCAAAATCGGAGGGTCGTTGGTTCCAATCCCAGCGAGGTCGGAAACTCAATTTTTCCGCGGGATTTATTTCCAAGGTCTCCCGGAATAACGTCCTTCTATATACTAAGCATTATAACTTTCCTTTATTTCTATAAACTCAGACACATTCAAAGACAATATATATTTTAAAAACGACGACAGCATCCGTCGATAGGATCTCTTCTCTTGTTCTTAATTCATAAATGAGTCTTGCTGCGCTTTGCGACAAGCTACACGAAACACTTTGCTGAGATTGCACAGTAGCCAGCGTCACAGCTAGACCACTTTGCAAAAAAAGGAACAAATATCCGGCTCTAAGCAGTTTACTAGTAGCATTCGGAAACGATCATGTAGCCAAGTTTCGCAACAGTGAGTTGCTGCACCCATCGTCACTGTAAGCAGAACTGTGATAGGTTGTGTGTTAAGAATGAGCCTTTCTTTTAAACAGGTGTTCCTAAGATAATCATCACAAAAGGTCCTACATACGCATCAAAGGGGGAGAATGTGACTCTTCCAAGATGCAGAGCGACAGGGTTTCCAACTCCTGTTGTGTCATGGCGCAAAGTGTTCGACAAAATGCCCCAGGGTCGAACTGTAACATCGGATGAGACTATTTCTATTATAAAAGTCAAATTATACGACTCAGGTATCTATCTGTGTACGGCGAAAAACTCCTTGGGTATTGACAGAAAGATYACCCACCTCGTTGTGCTCGTCAAGCCAAAATTCATAGTCAAACCGCCGAGAAAGGTGAAACGTTTCGCAGGGTCTCCATTAGTTGTAAGGTGTTCTGCAAAGTCCAACCCACCTGCTGTTATTTCATGGGAACGATGTGAGGGCGGGCCTTTACACAAGCGATTTATAGCTAAAGGAGATTCGATCACCACCAAACACCTTAGAATTACGGACTCTGGGATGTACGCATGTGTAGCGACGAGTACGCCGCTGATTACTCGTGCGCCTTTTGAGATCAAAGTGAAGATTGGTGAGTTCATTGTAATAAGCCATTAACCGCACGTTTATCTCATTTAGAGCTAAAAGGTTGATTGCTGGTTGATGAATATAGGTGGAACCCTTTTGCTTTCACTTTTTCAGAAACCTTCCAGAATTTAATACTTTACTGTTATATCAGTTGTTAATTGTTACCAGAAATTTGAGACGTGTTACAAAACAACTCGAGTGGAAAACGTAACTAGTGTAACGATCGGGAAATTGGTCTTGCGGTCAGGACTATGTGCCCYCTAGATGGGTATTGGTCATATAATGGCGTCGTAAGGCACTAACATGCATATTGAGAAAAGTAGACATGAGTTCCTGCACGCTCTRCGGGCTCCAAAAATGTGGTTCTTGACGGGTGTCTAGTCTCGTAGAGCCGTTGCAATTCAACAGCGGTTGCTGGKAAATTTTCAGTTTGAATAATGGAATGAAAACTGTCATCTTTTTCCAACCACTTCAAAATGTTTCATTGAGTGACCTAAATATGAATTAAATTATTGGTAATATACCTCTTATATAAACTTAAATGAGTTTATGTTCTTTCCTTTCAAATAGCCGAGGATTGTTCCACGCTGTATGCATCTGGTGTCCGTGAAGACGGGATTTATAAAATCAACCCTGACAACAAGGGATATTTTGATATCTTTTGTGACATGACAACCGACGGAGGAGGGTGGACTGTCTTCCAAAAGCGATTTGATGGCTCAGTCAACTTCTTCCGTGGCTGGAAAGAGTACAAATCAGGATTTGGCAAACTTTCACATGAGTTCTGGCTGGGAAATGGTAAACTCCGACGCCTTATTAGCGCCATTCCCAGGGAGCTCCGTGTTGACATGGAGGACTGGGAAGGAACTACTGCTTATGCAAAATATGGAGAATTTGATATTCAGGATGAGAAATCAAACTATAAGCTTACTGTTGGCAGCTATACGGGAACGGGTGGGGACTCTCTGGCGTATAGTAACGGAATGCAATTCACCACTTTAGATCGTGACAATGACTTGTCTGAAAGCGACAACTGTGCAGTGACGAGCATAGGCGCCTGGTGGTACAAGAGCTGCCACGATTCAAACCTCAATGGACAATTCGTACAGAGTGAACGCAGCCGTCAAGGAATGGTGTGGTATTTTTGGAAGAACAATGAGTCTACTATTAAGAAGTCTCAGATGAAGCTCAGGCCAAAGAAAAATAAACAACATAAGGGTTTGCTATAATATTCTTCACTATAGTATACTATGACTGTACAAAGATGAATACATGGTTGATGTCTATGCAGGGATGCAAGGATGAGCGGTGACGAGAACAGAAACAAATCTTAACTGTGTCGCTGATTTCAACAAATACTATTGCCGGATTCTGAGATTTTTTTTAATACACACAAAATTACCAATGGTATTTGGAGAGCTTACGTGCCTCCTGCATAAATGATGATATGGTGACCGCCATCTTAATTGAAATTATGCTAGTCTTGTCCTTTAGAAGTTATAAAAGTAAAGCGAGAGCACTTGAGAAATTTTAATTTGGAATGTTAAAGCAGAGTAAGTGTTTTTCTTGATCCAGCTTTCGCATGATGTCTTCTCCGGGGCGTGAGCTAACATCGCCGTAATTTTGGGAGACTTAAATCGATTTTGGCAAAAATAAACACAAACGCGATTTTAGGTCCTGGAATATACAAACGTAGGCTTAGTATAGCATACCGACTTTGCAAGACAAAGCAATAAATTTGTATTTTGCATTTGTGACTCCTTGCGTTACAAGCAGGACACAATCTAAGATATCCAGGTCGAATTGGTAATAAGGTCTTTTGATCAGATTTTATTGCTTCAAATGGCGAAAGCATGCAACCATATGATGAGTATAGCGCCAAACGTCTCCTGTTTACGGCAAAAAACCGGACTCATGTTGGGACGGTTCAAGGGGGTTAATTAGGGTGGCTAGCCATCCCCCTTTTTAGGGTTCAAAAATATTGAAATAGAAATTATGATATAGATAAATGTAAGAAGAAATAAATCTAAATGCGACTCATTCTGAAAAACATCTAAACCAGCAATCATCTAAATTTTCCTTTTCCACATGTCTAAATCGATCCATTTAATATTTTAAAGTGAGCCACCTTCCTTTGCAACGCTCTGGCGATTCGCCACTGGGGTAAATGCACGTTCAAGATTTTTTGCTCCGGCTATATGCATGGTTTCCTCGTTATATTACAGTACCTTTATAATAAGGTAAAAGTTCCTTGATATCATAATGTGAATTGTCTTTCGCAAGGAACAAGCAATCAGGCTATTAAATTTATTTGTTTAACTGAAGGAACCCCATGGTGTACACTTAATGATGCACTTATGTTAATTTTTTTTCTTTACGAACACTATTGTCATATGAAGAGTTCAGCTCAGTTCAGTTCAGTGTGTTGGACATTTTATCTATACTAGTCAAAAGAAACATGACTCGAAAATATTTTTATGATGCATATTAAATAGCTTATATCAAAATGTATGTTTTCCCAATGTCAAATAACATGTTATTATACCGCTATCTTGTCAATAAAAATAATGAATGTAATTTCTTTAGCTTTTTTCGTTTTTATCAGATCTTTAACCATTCAACCCTTATTTTAATCCTGGAAATAAACATCTGCCCCGAAATACTGTTTGTCAGCTTGAACAAGTAGCTCGGGCGAGAGATCCGCTCAGATCAAAAGTAAAAATGAAACTAAAGCCGTTTTACATGCGTTTTAGTTAGGCGGCGAGAGTCCTTTCACTTACCAAAGCGTGGAATATCTACTTTTTATTTGTTATTTTTCATTTTGTCGAGTTTACACAGGCTCATTTATTTGAGGGTAGCAAATAGGAAAGTTTACAAGACCATATCCCACGTGGGCTTGTGTTAAGCAATAATTTGCGATTTTACAAACAATTCTTAGCTCTGGCATCGGCCAAGGGGAAGGCAGCTATGTATTTGGGCTTCCTGTGTGTGATGTCACAAATTATTTTCTATTAGTTTCGCAAAATCTTATAATTATGCTCTAATTTTTAATTAACTAAAATCTTTTTTGAACGATCAACAAAACATTTTAATAGTAGTCATTTTTCGAACGATAATGGATCTATCTAACAAATCGAAGTCACCGCTTCAAAAAATGGCGCGAAGTGGGTTGCTAGATAGCAACTCGTCGACCAATGAAATGGCTCGAATTAAAGCACTAAACATTCGGGCCTTGGAAGAGTATCATCTCTTTCATTTGAAGCTSAAGATGCCGCCTTTRAAATCCGTTAAAAAGGTTAGGCCCTCTACTGCTTCTGGAGTCTTACAGAGCCACGAGACGACTTCGATTTTAGATGATATTCGACCATTTACAGCGCCGGATAAAGGCCCATTAGGACTTGATCCAACGTTCATAACTTCACGGCACCACGTACCCGGTGTCCCTGTAACTTCAAATTACAAAGGACGACAAGTTCACGGAGGAATTCCAGAGGATAATCTAAAACTAGAACATGGCAGACGAGCTACTATAGCAGGATTTGAAGAGGTAGAACATCATGAGCAACCCAAGAGGCCTTCYACTGCGGTTGGACTTTCAAAACAGCTCAAGGTATGCAAATAATCGACAACAGTTTTAGCTATCACTATCCAGCCCAACAACACCACTGAAAGAAGAAATAACTCTATCTAAGGTGGTTTAATGTTCTATGAATAGGTATAGAAAATATATTTCAATTGCTTCATATATCATAAGAGTAGATTTAGATACGTTTGGTGATGATGAAACGATTTATCCGAGCTAATTTTGATCAATTCGAGAACGCAACAGCACCTACCGTACGTACATTATACCCGTCGGCGCATTTTGAATCGATTCTTCTTGATGTTTTTAGTGTAATTAACACATTATATAGAACTTTGTGCAAAGTACGAAAATATCACTTTTGAATACGGTATAATTTATATCAATACTATTACGTTAGATTTGAGATGGAAATATGCTTTAGACTATTCCTGAAAACTCTTTTGCAGTAAGAATTGTTCAATTAGAGAATATTTCAGTAACCTCTTTAGTATTCCTTTGAATGAATAAGTGAAATGTTTTTCATTATGAAATCGCTGCTATAGTTTTAGCTACACAGCTAGATGAGGTCAAAACCTGTAAATGTTTATACTGTACACAAAACAATACAATAATAAATATAATTGAAGGACAATGAATGCTGATTGCATTTTAAAATTCTTTATATAAGCTTCCTTGACGTGATGTAAACAGGTCGTTTGAAAGACGTTAATGATGATGAATTTCACGTTTAAGAATATTTTCTCCTTTTAAAGCTGTTTATCTTAGTTTTAAAATCATAATACATCATTTTGGAAACGCACAATTGGCATAAAAGGCCTGATAAGATTTAATCAGTGATACAGATTTAATAGGCTTTGCTTCCTCTGTATTTTGAAGTTGATGTTTAGATCAGGAAGAGATCAGCAGTGTTCTAAATTAACTTGCAATATTTTACTTATAAAAATGATAACATTTTAAATTTGTTTGTCATGTATTGTTTTAGCTGGAGGACAGAATCACACTTGATCACCTTAATAGAATGAGGAAGGCTTTTGAGGTAAATATCATTGCATGATTGTACTGTTTGTAGTCAAATTGTATAGATCTGTATGACATATAACACCTGCCATATCTGTATGGACAGGGGAATAATTGTCATAGCAATAACATCATTAACCCTTCTCACAGGGGGTAACATCAATATAAACCACTCTACATGTACATTTAGTAGATAAAAAAATGAATAATTCTATGTATGAAGGATGATTGGAAAATTAAACTAGACTTACCTGTAAGTTGAAGTTTGATTGAGATTAATTACAGTTGTAATTGTAGTTGTAGTTGTAATTACAGTTGTGGGGCTTGTCTCACTGATGCAGCCAACAATTCTTTAAAGAATGATTTGCATATGCGCTGTGCTATCTCATGTGATCTCCTGCCTTCCGTCGTCATGTGATAGAAATAGCACTATCCAGGTAGAAATCCTAATAGGATCTTAATAAGATTATTGAAATTATTCTTAGTATTTTTGATCTTGTAAGAATCATAACTATCTTATAAAAGAACCTACAAGATTCTTGTAAGATCTTACATTTTTTCATAATCTTAATGATTAATCAGATATTAATCCATCATTAATACATTCTTACAAAAAAGCTCTGAACTGATAGTTTCTTATACTTGTAAGAACCCCATACAAGCATAAGATTATAACTTTCTGAATAAGATCTTTGTTGGTACTTTCTTATAGATTTTATTACATGATACTTAAATATTAACTGGTGTCAATAAACCCTTTTAGCAGGCAATCTCTTTTTATAGCCTCAAAACTATGGTTTAAATAACAGCCCTTGCAAATGCAAGAGTTATGTGAGTATAGAAGACAATGATTCGAAATAGTTTGAAATCTCATGAGTTTTGTCTAAATTTCTGCATATTTTACATACAATTGAGGTCAACAAAGTTTGAGGTTGCAAAACTCAAATATTATATGAAGGGTTATATATCCACTGGATAAATCAATGTTATTTGATCCCTGGGTATTAAATCCATATATCCAGTGATTATTCCATACACATTGTCAGGGTGTTAGTAGGTCTGAGGTATAGTTTAAAACATGAGAGAGAGTGTTTTAAACGGCTTCAAAAACTCCAACACTAATTTGAAGCAATAGGAGAAATTGCTGTAAAAATAAGTTTTGAGATATATGAGGTGAACTGATCAATTGCATGAATTACAAAGCTGACTCTTGTCATCCTACATGTACATTGAATATGCATAATTAAAGTAAAATAGAAGCGCTGGTGGTTGTTTTACTGTAATCAGTTGACATCGTGCATTGGTCAATGATGACGTATTAAACCTAAGACCTTAGCCAGGGTTATGGACCTTTATATCTGATAAAGGTCATGCTATTATTAGTATTCTTTATAYAAAGAATACTAATAAGGAGTGTTTTATTAGAAATAAAGGTCCATGCAYGTGACAAAATAGGCTCATTATTAGGCTCTCTATTGACGTAATAACTTATTAATCATGTATAAGATTTTGAATTGATGATTAAACATGCAATTGAAGCATATATAGAATATAAAAACTAGTGTCAAAGAAGATATCGGTCCATATCCTCTTTCAGTACAAGCTATCTCTGCTCTCTCTCAGCTTATGTATTTAGCTTTCGTTTTTCAATGGGAGTGTGTGACTGGTTGATGATAAGTAATAGATAATTATGACAAAATTAAAATATTGATTCACAAGATATCATRATCACATATTCCAGGAAGCAGATACTGATGGCAATGGTACCCTTGATTTACAAGAATTCAAAACTGTAATACAGTCTTTGTTTGCAACYAAGTTCAAGGTAATAACATTGTCCACCAACATAATGAGCTACCAGGTAGTGTGTATACTTAATGTTAAATTCAAGCATTGGCAGTCTAGYTACTGTTAATGATGAATTTATAAAAATACACTTTTTGTATTAATTTTGGCTCAAATGTGTAATGGCYAATCACAATTGTTAATATGGTCTTGAACCAATCATATATATAACATTCATGGTCATTGGACGTTCATTCTGTAAACTATATGGCGTAATATATAATATATGAGCGCGAGAAGAATTAAGTCGAATGCAAATAAGGACAAATCGCTTGCTCATAAGATGTAATGTATGATCGTTGCAGTGTAGATAATAATCTAAGCGATTATTAAGAAACTTACTTTTGGGCAGTGCTTTTGATTTTTAAGCACATCGTTCATTTTAAAATGTTTATTACATGTAGAATATTGATCAAGTAACAGCACTGTTCATGAAGATTGACTCTTCATCAGATGGTGAAATTAATTGGGTAAGTTTAACAGCTATAAATTTTGTTTATATTTTGTTTTAAAATGAAAACAAGGAGATCTTGATAAAACAAAATATAATGTATATTTTTTAATCTGGTCAATTTCAAAAAGGTTGTGGACTGAGATACATGTATGCACTAATGTACATATACCACTATATATATTAAGTAGAATGAAATAGAACAAATCACCAACTTGAAGCTATAATTATAACTCTGTTTATTTTTTTTGTTTTTAGTGGTTTGTGTACCACTATATAATATATATATATACTTTATGAGATTCATTAATTAGCATTTTTAAAAGAAAATCTATAAATTAATGTAAAATTTATTTAAATATTTTATGAGTTGTATATTAAATAGATATCTTAATACACAGACGTTTTCGAATTGACATATAGATTCAATAATAAATTGAATTGAATGTTTCTTGCAGGATGAGTTTTGTACATTCATGCAGTTGGAGTATGCAGAAAAAGAAGACTCATATTTCAGGTCTAAGGAGGTAAATCCTTGCAAATAAGGTTCAACTGAATGTAAAGTTTTGAAAGAATATTCATTGACAATTGAAAGTGTATTTCTATTAAAGTTTTCCATAATACTTTTATAATATATTGATTTTGTATTAAACAATGCCTAACTGTATATTGAATATAGCTTACTATAACATTGTGTCTTATATTTTCAGACCTCTTTTGCCCTTCCTGCACTGATAGAAAACTCACCTCAGAGGGAACAAGTGATTAGAGCTTGCAGTACATCTGATAATAACTTCCTTATTGTCAGCCAGGTAACAATGAATTTTTGCATATTATATGCCTACATCCATAAATTATTTTCTATCTAAAACTGTATACTTTACTTAGATAATAAAACCTGATTTAAATTGATTTCCTTTTGCCAGGATGGTCAAGTGTCATTTTGGTCCCAAAACCTGGAATTTAAAAGACTGAAACATGTAAGATTGCACATAATTTCGCATTTGCATTCTTATGTCACAATGAGTAAAATAATATGTGAATTTCAAGAGAAAATATGTTTTTCGAAATATCAAAATAACAAAAGTTTATAAAATATATAAATATTTATTAATGTTCTTTTTTACAGTCCAGTGAGGTCACAAAGCTATGATTATTCATTGATTGTAACATACTTATACTTTTTAACTTTTTAAATATTTGTTAGATTGAAAGCTCAAGCAAGAAAAACAAATGGATTACAGACTTTGCTCTGGTCCCTCAATATAACAAGTTTATTATTTCTACAGGGTAAATATATAATATCATAAATATCATACATTTAAGTAGATAATAGTAGACTATCCTGTGTCTTGTTTGTCATCTATTCAATTTTCATCATGATTTCTTTTATTGTCTATAACACAGACATACATGTAGTGTTTTCAGTAAAGTTAATGCACTAAGAATTTAATTAAAATTATGAAGTATGGGGCTCTAACTATAGTTTAAGTGAAAAATAATTTTTCATCATATTTAAACCTCCCAAGACATTCAGAATCAGCAGTAACCTGCCAGATTCCTCAGCCAAAAATACACCAAAGTATCAGTTTGTTATGACTAGCATTTTCATTCAACTCTGTTTAAATGCTAGCTTTCATTTGTTTCATTTGTTTCCTCAGACACATATTTTTGTCATTTTATTTCTTGGTTTGTGTACATGACTGCAACTACAACTTCTTGATAAAGAACACAGGATATAGCATCCTTGTTGTGGAACATAACAATAGAAAATTATAATGAGAAATCTTCTGCTGTATTCATGAAGCATTCACTTTCTTAATATATTCACTTTTTCAGGGACAGAGAAATTCAGTTTTTTGAGTTATCAACCTTTGAGCCTTACTGTCAAATAAGTGGACTTGAGACCACTCCACTCAGGCTTGACTATTGGTAGGTGGAGTGTTTGGATGTTCATGGGTGTGCCTGGGGGGGCGTATCAGGGGTTCAGAAACTACATATTTCTTTGCATGCCCAGAAATATAAATAATAATACTTTGTTTGAGAAGTCAATAGGTTTACAGTTTGTTTGATGTGAATTCAAAAACAATACTCATATAATGTTGCAGTCAGTCGCCTTCTCCACAGTCTTGAAACTGCAACTCAAAAAAGATGGAAAACCTTCTTACAAAATCTCATTGTTAGCCTATCTATGTTGCTGTATACAAAAATTTATTTGAAATCTATTGTTAATTGTTTGATATTATCTTTTTGCAGTTCTACTGGAACTGATGAATGTATTATAATATATGGTGATAGTCAAGTAAGAGTTCACAGTCAATAAATAGATTTATTTCATACTTGATTCAGTTTTCTTTGTTATTCATAGTGTTGTATCTCGCTTATTCCCCAGCTCGTTGTGTATTCAAGTGCTTTATATCGAAGTTTCAGGGATATCTAGATTTATTTCATACTTGATTCAGTTTTCTTTGTTATTCATAGTGTTGTATCTCGCTTATTCCCCAGCTCGTTGTGTATTCAAGTGCTTTATAACGAAGTTTCAGGGATATATCTATATATTGCCCTTGAATACTAATGTATATTGCCCTTGAATACCTAATTAACTACTACGTTCAACTTAGAAATTTTCCGTCTGAAACTTTAAACTTGAAAGAAAGAAAGAAAAATTCAAATGACACCAAGTAGATTCGAACGTCGGCAATCAGCCTATACATCCCTCGGGCCTAGGGCCCTCGGGATGTATTAGGCTGATTGCCTCCGTTCTCGGTATGTAACTCTTACATAAACACTGTATCATGCGCAAGAGGGGGAGCATAGGGTGCGATAACATTTATATTGAATTTGTGTGACTCAATTTTTTCAGGGTTGTGTGAATATTTTTATGATGCGTTCTACCGGAGAAACGTTAAGGTAACATGATTAGATATAGTTTGTATACAATGAACTGCTGTATATCATGTAGAGTAATGGACTTCACCCTTTCCTCAATTATCTTGGCTAACTAACGCGTCATGATTTTAAAAAGCAGAATCGCGCACATAACTTTTATTTGTTTCTTAAAGTTTTAACTAATGCTTCATGACTCTAAAAAGCGTTTATTAAAGTTTTAACTTTAATTCTAAAAAACTTTTCATTATTTTTTGTTCGTTAAGAAATTGGAAAAAGATGCCCAAAGTGGAAGGAATTGCAAGTGTTAACATTGACAGGTGAGTACTTTAGCGTTCATTTATTCGTTCTTTTCAAAATGCTCATGATGATATGTTTTTTGACAGTGTTATAAACTCTGAAAATACAAAGTTCATAAGGTGAGAAGTCGTTTATCTAGAATAACATTCGCGCACATCCTTTATAATTAACTATAGCTAGATGTTTGATAATAATAAAGTGATAAAAAAAGAGAGAAAAGAAAAGAACTAATTACAAGTGTGTTCGGAAGATATTCATGTAAATTTTCTGAGGCCATTTGATGGATTTTTTGTTTTTCTTTTCCACTTCTGACTGAGACGTTCTCTACAGGATAATCCCAATGACCACAAACTTCTTTACAAATGGAACATTGTCATTTATAGGATAAATCACAGTCAGTAGCTATGGATCAAGCGTGGATTTCACTAGCGCATAAGCATAGCATAAGCACAGGCATTAGAATCTTATGCGCCAGTGAGAACGGGCTCGACATAAGCATAAGACAT